CCCTGTGCCTTTCTTTTGATGTACATGACACATGCAATTGTCCACTTGTCCAGAACATGGTGAAGGAGGACTTATCTGACCATATCACTTGTCCACATCTCTGTAGATGTGATTTTTGCACCACTGAACTCATAAATGTGCATCATCATGTCATCTAATGAGGGGTTTATGCACTGCAACCCTACTGTAATATGCCTCTGACAAAATCTGAATCAACTGCTCAGCATTTCATTCATTTAACAGAGCATGATTGGATGTTAATTGCTTCATTGTACCATGCAGTGGAGCTATGTGGAAGCATCTGCTTTTGTTATGTTTATCCACTCATTTATTAAGGTTTTTCCCTTCATTTGTCACCTGTTTGTTATAGATAAGACCCGACTTCTTCTTTACAACCAGTCCGTAAGACAATGACGACCAATATAGTTAAAAGCAGTGACTCTCCCCACTCATCTATGCGTGTCTAAGCAAATGATACTTTCGCCATCTGCCCATGTCTGCGAGGACTGTCTGCTAGAAATTACTAACTTGTGCCAAATAAGATTTAAGACAAAGCGTAATTGCTGATTAGTTTCACCTGTGTCTAGTTGTCCTCCCCTCATCCCCCGTATGTAAAGCTTTCAGCCTGTTCCCTTGTGTTTGCTCAGTATTGTTCAGACTGCAACCGTTGGAATACTGCCTCATGGACTTCAGTTTCTGTTTCACCACCTGCTCTGCTTTCGAGTCTGCATTTGGGTCCAATTCCTGTCCTATTGTGACATAGTGTTGATGAAAAACAAAAAACCTTATTATGTTCCTTCAATGTATTTGATGTAGAATAGCAGAATGTGAATATAGTTTAAAGGGGACAGGGTTGTGAAGCGCATATTCAGAGCAATACATTAATATGTTTGACAATGAATACTTTCTTATCAAAATTTTTTTAAATTGTATGTTGGTGGTTGTTTTTTTATATGTATTTATATAATCTGCCCCCCAAAACTAAAACTATGAAAGGTGTGCCAGTAATTTCAACAACCTTGTGGAGACATTTGGACACACATACACAATCAATGATAGCAGAATAATCTTAGGCATTACTCGTCAAATTCATTTTAAATTGATTAATTTCTTAAATGAAATAGTTGAACAATATTACATCCCAAAGAATTCAACCCCACACACTGAAATATACTGACAGAGCAGACATAAGTCACTTTCTTTCCACAACCCAGCCCCATTATGGGTTGGTGCTGTAAATGGGCATAGTGCAAATCGATCAATAAAAAGAAAAATCCAACTTTACAGTTTTGTTTGTTTTTACTTCCCCAAATAGTGAAGGACAGTAAATCTGTGGCTTCAGGCTAGGCTATTATTTATTATTATTAAATGCCAGTAGACTGGCCAAGGAGTGTTGCTTCATAAAAACAGATGTTCTTTCAATCCAAGGACATATCATGAGACCAAAAAAGAGGAGACGTCAGACTTATATTTTGCTTTGTGATCAATAAGTCATAAAAAGATACCAAGGCACACAGCTCCGTTTTTGACTGGCAGAGGTTTTTAATGTTTTCAAAGCAGTGTGCCTTGGTATTTTTTGGTTAAGACTTATTGATCACAAAGCGAAATACAAGTCTGACCTTCTTTTTAGTTTCAAAATCTTCTTTTTTGTCCAATTTTGAAAACACAATTTAAATGTAGTGATGCTAAAAGTACTGGATCAGCCTATAAAATACCAACTATGTATTTAAAATTGAAGAATGTTACTCGCCCCCCCATGCTGCCAAATTCCTTGGAAAGAAAAGAAAAGTATAAAGAACATGACCTTAGGATCCTCGATGGTAGCTACAGCCCGGTAGAGAAAGACAACAATGACTCATGCAGTGTATCACAGTAAATTTTTATTTCTAGTGCAGACAACACACAGTGCTCATACTGGTTCTTTCTTTTTCTTACAAGGTGTCACTTTGTTTCTTTTTACACTGCTGAGAAAATCCACAATAGAAGTGAGAAATCAAAAATGTCACATGAAAATGCTTTCATGTTTGGACAGTATCCTTCAGTGTCATTTGGACACTAACAGGTGATCCCTGCCCCCGCTCCGGGAAGACGCTTAAAGCTGTCGCAACACTGGGACACGACAACACATCACATGTACACAGTCATCAACGTCAGGCTGAAGGTTGGTGTCCTGATGATCACACCTATGCCTACACCAAACTGGGATATGTTGACACATAAGTGAACATCTGTGTTTAACCTACAATATATAACAGAGTGATATGACTCATCCCTCTTTAAAGTAACACTAGTTCCAGTGTGACAGCTTGATTATGGCCTAAAAATAGAATCAAATGTAAGCATGAGTTCAATTGAGTGAAATTCAGAAGATTTAAATACCATGAACCAGAGCGGTGTTTCATAAAGAAAGCTCAGAAAAGCTTACTGTAAAAACTGGCTTGAGTGATCGTAGCAAAGTGAACCAGGATCAGAACTCTCGCTAGTTCTTTCCAGAACTACATCTCTATTATATTTGTATCTCCTTTCTGAATGTATGATGGGAAGTTTTGAGCAAGGGTTTGAGCACAAACTGTAGGGAACCTGGCTAATGCAAGAGAGATGCTTATGTGGATGATGGCACAGAATATATTTTTGTTTGCTCAATTTAAATATTTCTTTACACGATGATAATTTCTCTACAAAATATAATTCATGTGCTTGTAAAAAATATTTTTCTGTGCTAAACATATGCCATTATGTGCTTAAAAATGGGACACAAATTTAATTCCATACATATCAGCTTTCATCAGCTGTTGACATTTCGGTTGTCATGGAATTAAGCCATCTCCACGACAACTGAGCCAATTTGAATTAATCAATGAAGGCCGTGCAATAGTTTTAAGAGCTCTGAAAAAAGTTAGTAAGTGGACCTTGAGTTAATATTATTTTGTCACAACTCCTATTCCAATGGTAAAGAATTACCTTTTACACACACACCTTTCACTGCCTTAAATGTTATACACTGGATGTCGTACTGGAGCACCAGCATCTTAGAATAAAACAATGGGACAAATAAAATAAACTCACCAAAACTGAACTGGTCTTTCCAACAATTACCAACCCTGGTTTGGTCGAAATAAATTTTGTATTCATCCTAACTTAAAGTTTTTTTTACCTTACATATCCTTGTAACATCGTAATTTAATAATAATTTAATTCAAAGTAAACCTGACCAAAACTGTCTTTATTAGTCTTTTCACTGTTCCAACAATCATCAACTCTGGTTTGGTGGATTCTGGCTTCCTACTAACACGCAGACATACAGTGGATGTCTATATTCTCAACTCACTCTCATACGGAAAGCAAATAAGTGAATTTCTGACTGATCGATTATAACGCTGGTTCAGGTTGAGGTGGACATTTTTAAATTAACTTTACCAGAAATAGGCTATTCTGTAGGGCTAGGTTTCCATGGTAACTTAGATCAGACTTAAACCTGTGTAATGTACAGAAAATGAGCCTGGTTACTGAAGTAAGCCTGGCTTAACTGGCTGCATTATGAAACTACTCTGAAGAAAACATATGGAAGTTTCTGGAACGACTGGGTTGCTGATGATCTTCTAAAACCTGAGTTCAAGTTTGTATGATGCTACAAACTATATGATCTCTCAAAACTCATTGAGAATGAGTTGTATGTAGTTTCTCATCACAGTGAAAGTTGGCATGTCATTTTGACACTACACAAAGTTTGTGCTTTGTAGCACATTGCACTTTTTTTTGGAATTATCTCACCAAGTGAAGGTTAGTATAGTACTGTACATACTAGTGCAATATTTGTCTGACGAGTCTAGTTGACTCTAATTGGCAGCATACATAAAGTGTCTCCATAGAAAATCTTCATAGGCTTCATAAATACATTTTTATCAAGAAAATCATAAATATTAAATTCTGCAAAGGTGGATCCATAATAATAAATACATATAGCACAAACACACCACATTTGTATACCTACTCATGCACAGTTGCACACATAAAAAAACACACACATGCTCACACTGATTCAAAAGTGTTTTCACATGTGTAACCACTCATATTTAAAAGTATACTGTGTCTAGCAATGTCATTAGAAATTTATTAACAAATATAAATCTTTTTAAAACGATCAATCCAAGTATTTAAAGGTGCAATCAGTGATATTTTACTGCCTCTTTGCATAATACTGTATATGCTGATGTCATGTCATTCCTTCTCAATGGCTGCTATGATTTCCTTGTTTTTTCTTCACTGTCCATTTTGGATTGGGTCCAAACCCAGGAAGACCTCTACAGTATACGCAGCATTTGAAAGATGAATGGAGCTTCGGATTTCTCTCACTGGGTAGCTAATGAGTTTATGGATGTTTGCCGACTAGAGAATATTTATTTATTTTAATGCATGAAGGTTTATAAATGATTAATTAAATGTGAAAGTATTGTCTGTGATTAGGAAACACTGAGTCAGCCAGCAGGTGTTAGACATGACTATAGGTCTTAACAGGTCCATGTGGTTCCTAGTAACTAAGACCTGCCCCGGGTCCTGGGGTCCTGTTTACTCAGTCTAACCAAGGTAAGTCTCAGGTGTGTCTATCAATTTGTCTTGAATGGGATCCAAGTGGGCTCTCAATCAGCTATATCCTAGATACAATCCTGGTCCTCTTCAAGTCCCTTTTGGGTCAGGTCTCGTTTTTAAGAAAATGAATTTATGCACATTGAGTTTCGGTACATTTTCCACTGGTCTGTTTGGGATCATGTTGAAAATTGTGAATCTGTGAAGATCTCTAGATAAGACTGATCTTTGTACCTACCTGTATTGACTGTAGGAGGAATGTAGAGCAACTAACACAAACCAAAAAAAAGGCCCCAACTGGGACTGATGGGGTTCAAACTCAGGACCTTCATGCTTGCATGACCGTGCTAACTACTGAGCCACTGTGCCCCTAAAGAGCTGTACAGTACTGATTGCAACTTTAAACTGAATGGAGCAGAACATTAACTCAACATTAACTGAACCTTTCTTACGTTTGAAAATTCATTATAAAAACGTAATGGTAACACAATTAAAGATAACTTTGTCATAAAGGGTTCTGAAATATCATTGGGATACGGTGCCTGACCGAAACTCGGCCTATAGTTTAAGGTCAAAGCTGAAGGCATTGAGACCCAAACACTTACGAAATAATTAGATTACAGGGCTGCTGGAAGGTCTAAGAAGTACAAGCATATTAAAACTATACGGTGGTTTCATTTTTCCAAGGGCCAGTTCGTATGTTTCCTGTTGCGTCTGAACCAAACAGGCCATCTTCCTGTAGGCTCCTGTTTCGGCCAATGGTACCCCGCCGGCTGACAGTGGCGTGCTGCCGAGGCAGAGTATTTCTTGGAAAACCTTGCTGCTCCGCCTCTACGCAGAGATTATCCTTTTCTTTGTCTGTTGTCTTTGACATGCAGCTGTATGTGTCAGGGTCTTGCTGATATTGTAAAGTGAAGGGATCAGGTTTCTCACAGCAGCTTGTAGTGGAAGAATGATCTGCTGAGCTGTACATGTGCCACTGGCAGGTGTGGACCCCATGAGAAGGCAGGAGGAGGCTGTGACAGGAAGTAATGCTGTCATGCATGTTCTGTACGCTCTGGCAGGAGGTCTGGCGTTGCAAACTGTGGCAGGAAGCCAGCTGTTTATCCAAGTGAGGACTAGGGCAGGGAAGCTGGAGGTCTGGGTGGGGGCTGTTGCAAACCAGAGATGAACCTTCAAGGTGGTGCGCACCATGGGGGCTGTCCAGGTGGGAGCTGTGTACACTCCCATCCATACTGGTGGAAGTCATGTGAGAACGGTAGTCCTGAAGGCATGGGCGTGGGCGGTTGAAGGAGCGTGACTTTGTTCTGTTATTAAGGCAGCTCTGTAGAGGCAGAGCGGGACGAGAGAGCTCCTCAGAAAGCGACTGTGGACGTGGTGATGGGACTGGCTCAACGAGAGGTGAGATTGGGGTTGGGCTAACAGGTCCCATCACTGCCACGCAGCATGGACCTGTGTGATTTGGTGTAGGGCTCTGGGGAGGTGGTATCATTTTGTGGTAAGCGCTCTGCACAAGGTGAGGAGAGAGCAGCGGCTGCTTGCCTGAGCATGGGGAGCTCAAGTGGCAGTGTGGTTGATGGAGCTCCTGCCTCTGGCTCTGTCCATCCTCATTCCCACCCTCTGTCTTGGACTTGGACGGGCAACAAGCCCACCAGCGGTGCCATACATCGTCACGTTTGGCACAGTGCTGAATGAGAAGGAAGAGTCCTAGAGTGACACAAAAAGCCCCATACAGGCAGCTAAATATCATATCCAGGAAATGTCCTAGTGATACCGCCAAGGCTCCTAAAGCCCAGGTAGACAGGAACAGAAAGAGGGTGAAGGCTGTGGCCCGGAGCTGAGATTTAAATGAGTGCTCATTGGCTAGAACTGACAAGCCTGTTGCAAATGGTGGACAGTCCCCAGCAGGCCCAGAAGCTCCCCCAGTGCCAGTGTGGCAGTGATGGTTTGACTCACTGGATGATAACTGCTGCTGCTCCTCACTCAGAACTCGCAGCTCGTACTTCCTCTCCGGGTGGCGTTTAAGCTGGATATAGGTGCACAAGAAGTACACGGACATGACTAAGACCAGAAGACTAATGGGGGCATAGAAACCACCCAGGCTTGGTTCCCATGCCATCCAGCAACTGAAAGACATACAAAGACAAACATTTATTTTATTTCTAAAACCCTGTGAAAACACGATTGTTTAGAAATTATGAGTACTTACTACAAGGCGTCATCCCTGCTGCCATAGTTATCCATACCAAAGGCTGCTGTAACTCCAACAATTATGAGTGGAATTCCATCACTGACGAGATAAAATCTGCAAAAATTAAGTATTAATGCTGGCTTTGGGATTCTGCAGGGTAATTGGTGGTGCAGAAAGATGGAACTTTCGTCCAGCTTAAACCATCAAGTTAAAGGTCCAGTGTGTAACATTTAGGAGGATCTATTGGCAGAAAGTATATTCATGTTTTCATTAGTGTATAATCACCTGACATTTCTGACAGTAGATCCTCCTAATGTTAAATTCGCAACTCTTTTCATGCTGTCATAGTGCACTGAGATGTGTTGGTCTTAAGGATGAACTGAATAATGACCACTTGGCTCAACAGTCCAAAATAAGTTTTCTTAAAATCAGCTAAGAATATTGTAAAAACAACAAAGACGATTGGTATTTCCATCACTGCCATTTTCCTTACTCTTATATCAAGCTCTCATGTTGGTTTTGAAAAACAGGATACTGCTTGTTGACAGAACCCAGTGGTGCAGTCATGATTAATTCATACATTAGTCAATTAGTGATTTAACCAGAACATTGCTCAGCCCTGTCGTGCACATAAACACCTACTCACTAGCTTACATCTTACCTGAGGACTGTTGGTTTGGTGCGAGTCTGGGCCGGCCCATTCCTGTCCTGGGTCCGAAGTGGGTCTTTGGACACATCTTTAAAGATGTTTCTAGCTGTAAACGTCAGCCACAGCATGGTAGACAAAGAAGCATAATGGAGCACGATGCCAACCTAACACAGATAAATATGTAAAAAATATTAAAAGCAATATGAGATCATTGTCCAAATTAGCATGTGTGTGTTTTGTACATGAGACTAAGATAGGTGGGTAATCACCAAACCACAAATTTCTCACTTTTGCATTATGCTGCTAACTGTTCACTGAATCACAAGGTGCAGTCAGTGTGATTACATTAGGGCTGACACCCTCTGGTCGGTTGGTCGATATGCTCTTGTCTGACCAAATTCTAATTGGTCAGACAATCATTGGTGTTACTTTCAGGAGTGACATATGTAGACTGGGTGTATTTTATTTTTAAACGATAGGCTATATTATTAGAAATATGAAAGTAATATTAAATTATATTTTACTCAACAAATGTGGTTCTGTTTTATTAATTGCATGGTTTAACAAACAATCAAATCTATAAGACTTTCAAGTGGCAGCCTGGAGACTTCAGGACTTAACTTACTGAACATTTTAACTGACACAATTGCAAATAACCAGCAACAATCTCTACATCTACCTTCAGCCTCAGAGGACAGAAGATAACGTTACTGGCTGCCTGTGACCTGACTTGAAACTTTGGAGCTTTATGTTTTGCCATGTTTTATGTTGTTTTAGTGTTTATTTTGTTGTTTAGCCTGCTGAATTTGGTTGCAATTTGGAGGGACAGTTGAAAGAAACTGTGTGAACCATTTGCCTCTATTGAAGCCAACTAAATAACAACTGTATCAGCTTAGATGCCGGTAACTGTTACCTTTTGTGCAGTTGCCAGCCTGCATTGCAGCTGTATGTAAATTGACTGGAGAGTCATGTCCTAAAGGTAACAAAGCTATGTGTGAAAAAGAAAGGGTAAAAGAATTTATTTTCTTGGCTTCTCTTGAACTTTGATTAGCAACCAGCAGCTGCAGGGTAGAGTGCACTGGGGTCGATTTAGTTAACCTAGGAATAACATGAACTTTTTTTCCCGTCAACCAATTGAATTCAGTAGAATTTCACTTGACCAAGATTTTCATTCTTTGCTATATTCATTAAAAGATAGCCAAGCTGTGCAGATACAAAATCAATTATGGTATAGGAAACTTGATCTAAAAAATATTATACAGTATTCACTTCTTTTTGGACTTCTTTTTGAAAATATTAAATCATTAGTAATTATGATTTTCAGCCACAAAAGCAGTGGGGCTCTGAGGATGACAATATGTCAGTTTCTTGGCCCAGCACCTTGGTCCATAGAGAAATATCTCCACTAAATTGGGTGAATTATTATAAAATGTGATACAGACATTCATGTTCCCTACGGGATGATTTGTAATAACTTTTGTGGTTTTTCTTCTTTTAGCACCATCTTTGTCATCAGGTCAAAATGTCACTTTAGTTTATGACTAAATACCTGCAATGCTGGTGAGCTAATGATCCTCAGATGTACAATGTGTTTAGAGCTAATTAGTAAATGTTACAGCTTAACATTAATCCACTTCAAAAAGTGAAGCCTATAGCTGCTAGTAACCTCAAAGCTGCCTGAAAACTGCTTGACCAACAACTGAGGAAGCTTTCAGTTCTCTCAGGACCATCATTCTGTGCAGAACACATTTTTAAAAGTGCTGTGAAATAACACAAGCTGTAGGAAAACATCAACTTACAATTTGACACATAAAAGGTAAGTTGATCTGATTGATGCCCCCGGCAAAAACTCCAAATGTCAGCCCCGTGTGAAAGAGGAAGTTGAGGAGTGTGTGCCAGCCATTCCTGCTGATGCGGATGACACTGCAAACAATGAATAGAATTACAGAGTTAGGAATTTATTGCTTCCATTGACTACATTTACCATCAAAACTGAATGGAAATCCACTTAAAACGTGGAAAACATGTATGTGTATACAAGAGTGACACAACAAACAACCCTATTTGGAAATAATTTGGACTATATAAAATTGTGACTCACAAATATAGTGCTAATGCGAGTGAAATGTCATATGAGGTCATTAGTATGGCATATTGATTTCTAATAAACTGTTATTTAAATTAACTCCTATATAGCATTTTGTACTTTCCAATTGTTGCATTTTGGCTAGACATGTTCCCCTGTTCAGTCAAATGTTTAGATAATGCTTCCTGTCCCTAGAGCCACTGAGGCAGACCCCCCCCTAATGTAGAAGATGGGATCACAATCCGCAGTCCTTGTTCTATGCTACAATGAATTCTCAAGCTTAAGCCAATATTAAAGTTGAGCAGATAGCTGGTCAGATACCGAGCATTCAGACCAAAAACATGACTGTGTCAAACGCAATGGGTTAAAATCATTAAATTTCACATTGCACAGGGGGACAACACAAGGATGCCCACTCCTTCCTTTTTAGCACCTTGCTGCCACTGTCCAATAATCAGATAATAGGTGTCCAGTCCACCAGAATAAACCATAAAATAAGTTTATATGCAGATGACATGCTACTAACGTTAGCTTTTCATTTCTGGAGATCACATTTACACAAAATCATGAATGTGTTGCTGAACAAAGCATGTAAGTATCATAAACTTGTGTTCACCACAGAGCTTATTTTCTGCAATAATCCAAAATCCAATGGAAAAATCCTATTGGCTTTATGTCGAAAAAAAATTCGTCATCCCTGCAGCACTATATAAATAAATAGCCTTTTTTCAGGAATTCCCAAAGTGGCGGTGGTACTGGTGGGATGAAGGAAGTACAGCTTGACTATTAGATTCATCGGTTTTAAGGCTTATCAAATGCCCATGTACTGTACGTGTTTGAAATACAATCAACAACTTTGAATCAGAATCTTTGAAAGTATTGCTTGCTTGTTTGCATGCACTTTATTAACATACACAGTGGGTTTCAGGATGACGTTGCATTGCATTTCACAGTTAAAAATTATAAAATTCCCCCGTTCAACCATCAGAAAGAGGGTTTTACACACTATCAAAAGCATTTTTAAGCATAATGAGGCCTTTACAGCGACCAATACCTCTTTCAGTATACATATGGACATGTGAGAATTGTATTAAGAATGCCCTCACCTGTGGTGGACAATGTAGGTCATGATAGAGACGAGCAGACAGAGCAGCATGACCGCTGTGCAGGCATACACCACTGGATGCAGGTAATCCCCAGGGTATGGTGGGAAAGACAGCACTCTCTTCAGATCCTAAAGAAGTTTACAAATAGAACAGAATCATTAGATCCTCAAGAATGTATAATAAAAAGCAAAACATGCCAAGAGACATACACCCTCATTCAATGAAAAAAACAATGCAGATTGAAGATGATCTGAACTGCGGTATCGCTGCCAAAAGTTATTATAACACTGTCCAGATGGTCCTGTTCTGATCTAAGCCAAGCAGGACTTGGTCAGGAGTGTGCTGGTGCATTTGTCTGCCTACGTTATTCAGCTTAAAGGAAGAGTTCAGCATTTTGGGAAATATAGGCTTTCGTTTTGTGTGTTCGATGTTCAGAATCGCATGTCTCTGTATGAGTTACAGAACTGGAGTCAGAACTTGATTAGTTTAATTGGCATGGAAGCAGGGGGATTGAGCTTCAAAGCTCAACGTGTTGTATGTGGTTACAAACAGAAATGTGTTTGGGGGAGTTAAATGTCGGGACTATTCTTTTGGTGAACAACAGTTTGCTCCATTTGAGCATTGTGTCTGCACAGTGTGCAGCACATAATCTGGTATCAGCGGAAAACGCAAATGCCCCTATCTACAGCCATTGTTTGGTCTGTCCTTTTTGGGCTACTGCAGAAACATGGCACTTTCAACGTGGCAGACTCTGCGGTGTCTGTAGATTAAAATGACTCATTCTAGAGTAACAAAAACTCACCGATTCTTATTTTCAGGTGATTATACACTAATGAAAACATACCTATGAATATTATATTACATTTACCACCATATACCACCAACAAGGAAGCACATTTCCCCAAATGTTGACCTATTTCTTAACCCAAACAGCTGAACCTGTAGCTCTATATCTCAAGCTTCTGACACCAATGCCAACATGTTACTGCAAGCAAAGAGCTTTAAGAATGCTTGTGAAAGCAAACAATGATGTTTTCTCTATGCATACAGCCAGTGCCGCTACCAACAACGCTGCCATGAACCATCAGCACTCAAAACATTCTGCCTCACTCATGTTAGTCAGACTGACTACATGAAGCCTGCAGACTTGCTGCTGGAGTTTGGAATGTGCTGCATGTTTCCGAAGCCCTGCACAATTACTCAAGCCGCTTTCAATATGAGTGCATTAATGAAATTTTCTGACACGGTCCCAGGATCTAGCAACACACACTCCCCTGTGCATTGTAGTGTAATGTAAATGTAAATTATAGTAATTATATTGATTGATTTGCATTACTGAAGCAAACCCTCTCAATTTGCTTTGGATTTAGACAGGGAAAGTCTTGGACTATTGCTTCCTGTAGTTGTAGTGTTGCCTAACTGCACTGACATCACTGTCTTAAAATAACTCAGTGCACATCACTGAGTGTGTAAAACATGGCAACAGGGATTTCAGTACCTCCTGAAATATGAAATCAAGTGAACAAAAGGCACATTATCAGACCTCGTTTGGGAGGCTGTATATTTGTCTTTTAGAAAACAAGTTTTTCTCTTATGATAACCTAGCTGCACTTTTCTCCTAGCCAGATTCTATCTAGTGATCTGATAAGATGAGAGGAGCTTCTTTGACAAGTTATTATGAAATTCTTCCCCCATCCTCCTGCTAATAATATAGGGCTGCAACTATTATTTTCATTGACTAATCTGCAGATTATTTTCTGTTGATCGATTAATTGTTTTGTCTAAAATGTCAGGAAAAAATAGTTTTTATCTTATTTACTATTGTTTCAGACGAAGACCAGAACACATTCACATTTGAAAAGATGGAACCAGTGACTGATTTAAAAGCCACTGGGCAGGGATCTAACAAGCACTCAACGTATGATTCGACACAATTCACGATACTGGGTTCAAAATATGATTTTCTCATGATTTTTTTTTAAACAAAATTAGATTGAAGACAAATCATGACTAAAAATGATTCCTTTATTTCTCAGACAAAAATAAGATATATTTTTACTACGATAGCAGCGTTCGTGTTCGCTGTGATCTGCCAACTTCACCACTAAATCCTACACACTGGTCCTTTAAATTGAAATCCAAATCTCTGTGAACTTTCATGTCCACAGCAACAAACTTCCCATTTGCAATGCAGTGTATGCACATGATATCACTGCATATCGCCACTGTCACTCACTACACCAAACAATCATCCATTTACATGGAAAAATACATGGAAATCTACAGTCCGACCGCAGAGACACAATTCAAAAGAAAGAATTTAAGCTTTTAGAAACTGCTGAATTAATAATTTTAATAAATGAAGACAAATCTATATATTTTAAAATAATAAAACTGTAAACTTGCCGTGTGATGTCTCTCTAAAGGCTACCACACACTGCTTTTTTTGGCCTGCCCAACACAGAAGTTGACAACCATTAGAAAAACATGGTCAGAGTTTTGGTTGCCAATCTAAAATTGTAGCACACAAACATGAGATTGATATCAATCTTCTAATGATCTTGTAAAAGTGAATTAACACTAGTTCTAAAAATGTTAAACTATTCCTTTAGTCTCATGTTTTTGATTGACATTTCAAAAGACTATGTGAGTCATTTTGGGTGATGGCAAATCAATGAAGCTACCAACAAACACATTTTACTTGAGAATCAAGGCACTTGCATCAACATTGTTTATCCAAGCTCCGATGACATGGCTGTGGGGGCAGGAATGTGGAGGAGTGTTAGAGAAAGTGACTCATATACAGTAAGTGATGTGATCTCCTGGACAGGTCTAGCATTCCCTGCGCGTTAAATGGCAAAACGTGCCTTCAAACAACAGTTCGGCCTTCTCCTTCCTTTCACTGAAGCACACGCCTGCATGTGCATAATTCAAGCTGAAGATTCCTGTGGAGGCAGGAATCAAGAGCTAACTTGGCTCCGTCTTTATGACAGCGTCAACTCGCTTTTCCCTTTGTGTTCCAAGGCCTTGTATTTTAGAGACACTGTCACGTCTTCCTCCTCTCATCTCTCTCTCACTCCGGGACAGCATGCTCTCTCAGCACGCTCCACTGAACAACCCATCTATTAGACAGAGCATGACTGATTAAATCCTTTGCAGATCCCATAAAATGAAAAAACACAGGCATGCACACACAGAGATCTGTGCGCACTACGCTCCACTTATCTGAGATGACCGACCGCGCTGTGTCACGAGGTAAGATTTTGTAATTCGGCTTCTTTTGATCTGAATCTGTATTTAGAGCATCACATCTTACAAGTGTTACAGGGACTCCAGTTACAAGTTAAAAGGTAGAAGCATTCATCTCTTGTATTGTCTTCCAACCCTTTTTTCCCCCCACTGTTTACATTTCTGTGAGACGTACAAGCTAAATCGAACACTCTTGACGATCATCGATATTTAAGGTATCAGACACATTTCGTTTAGAGATGTTCCGATACTATTTTTTTCCCCCCCAATACCACTTAGCGTATACTACTAACCCTGAATGATTACTATCATTGTTGTTTTGCCTGGCTCAGATTAAGTCACTGACAGTATATATAATGGACATAACTTCCGGGTCTGTCAAGTGAAACCAACGCAGAAGTGTCTTAAACCTGCATTCTATCTAATGGCCAGCAGGGGGAGCTCCATAAGCAGTTTCCTAATGGGTTTATGGTCTCAATCTCTAGTTTCAGTCTTCTTCCATACAGCATGATGTTCATTTAGTAATTGATGGTCCCATTAAGGGTAAAATAGACCATAAAGCAGGGTATGCTTTAGGGCGTAGCTACTTTGTGATTGACAACGCATTCTCAGTGAGTCCGTCCAGCTCAACGCATCAAACTCAGATCAAACTGTCAAACTAGGCAGTGCTGATCAAATATGGATCCAGATTCTGTTACTGCGTTGACTATTTCTCTCCTAAAATCTTTTCACAAACATAATTTAGTGTACTGTTTATCTGGAATATGAGATTGTATGACGAGCCACCATTGTTTCCTGCTACAGACGAGTCAAAACTGCACAGCCAATGAACTGTAGCAGCTCAACTCACAGTAGGTCACCTCCGCTGGCTCCGACAAACTGTCATGGCGATGTTCATAACGCCAAACTCAAGTCTTTAAAACGGTACTTCACAAACCAATGGGTGACTTCCAGTAGATCCAATACATATCTATATTTCTCGTATTCAGGCTCAGTACGGAGCAATCGTACCTACTATGAAAATGCCCAAAGGGGCTGATCACACAGACACTCATTGCTAATGCCTGTAAAACCATTGTTTTCGTATGGTTTTCACTCCTCTCTTGCGGTTTTATATTGCTTTTTAGATGTGCATAAAAGGTCAAATATTTCTAACTTTACAGTTTTAGTGTCACACTTGGCCCAGACAACCAATCAAATCAAGCAAAAGGCGGGCTTAAATTGGCATCCCTAGAACCATGCCACTAGAATGCCTAGGGAATGGTAAAAATGAAAACAGCAGAGGCTGAACTTTAAGTTTCTAGTTTGGGTCACTAATCTTTATTAGTGAAATAAAATGAATTAGTGATGAATCCCCCTCATGCACAAAAAACAATGATGATTAAGATACAGAAAAAAAAAGAAATGCATGGCAAAAGTAGCATTTTGTTAATGTTTTAATGAATTGCAGGCATTCAATCGAAGGGGGAGATCCATGCAGGCTAGAAAGCACATTTCTCTGATTAATGATAAAAGGTATAAATAGATCAAACTAAAGCTATTTGTTTTCTGAACAAATATACATATAAAGCAGGAATTGAATATTTTCAATGTTTTTGAACCTTTGTAGAACACATGTAATTAGTGTAAATTTCTCACAAATGTTCTGCAAACAAACAGCCCGTCTTTCTCTGTCTCTGTTTGGTTTCTGTTTCTCCAAATCTTCAGTCTCTAAATTAGTCCCAACTTCTGCACTTTTCTAGTCAGCATGAACCTGTGTCTGCTGCAGCAGGTTTTTTTCCATGGTTTTCATTGTGTTTTCGTGCCAGATTAGCTTACAGTGGCCAAAAAAAGACGCTGAAACAATCGCTGCAGATCGCAAGTCGGCCACAGAGCTTCTCACCACACTTTGGTAACTTGACGATAGACAAATATTATTTCGTTAAATCTTCCATGTAAACACAATATAAACTAAATAAATCTTTAGGGGGGCTCAAGATACTGGTACTCACGTGAATTAAATGCTCCCATCTCCAGGGAGGAGGCCTTATTAGCACTCAAGGGCCTGCAGTCAGGCAAGGCACCAGGGCCTGATGGCCTGAGCAGTGAATTTTATCGAGAATTTCAAGATGTGCTTGTAGACCCCTTCTTGGAAATGTTGGAACATTCTTTCATCACTGGTAGCCTCCCCCATTCATTAAGAGAAGCCGATATCACCTTAATTTTAAAAAAGGGAAGTCCCCTGAGGACTGCTCAGGGTACAGGCCTATTGATCTTCTGAATCAGGACATTAAAATACTATCCAAAATATTGGCATTAAGTCTCGAGAAAGTTCTACCTTTTCTCATCAGAGAGGATCAGACAGGCTTTATCAAAGGTAGAAGTTCTAGTTACAATATTAGGAGGCTTCTACATATTATCAATATTTGTCAGACACAGGAAATTGATAGCATGGTCATTTCACTGGATGCAGAAAAGGCATTTGACTGTGTCGAATGGTCATACCTGTTTAATGTCTTACATAAATTTAATTTGGGAGACAAGTTTATTAGATGGGTCTAAAAATCCCATGGCCGCAGTCATCACCAATGGCTATAGATCTGACAACTTCCCACTTCATCGCTCAACACGTCAGGGCAATTTAAGATTTATAGCAGAATGGGTCAAGGAGGATCCTACTTCTGATTTGCTGAGTATAGAAAAGTCACAGTCCTCAGGCTCCCTGTTAGGCCTTTTGGCCTTCAAGGACTTAAAGTCAGCCAGGAGCCATTGTAAAAACAACCCTATAATCTCTAATACATGAAAAGCATGGTTTATTACACAAAAGCTTGAAGGGAGGTCTGGACTAACATCTCCACTGGTTCAAATTCAGGGCAATCCTAACTTCTTACCAGGCATGGTGGATGGTGGGTATAGCACTTGGACATCTCGAGGGATAAAGAGGATGCGTGACTTATTTCAGGGTGCATCCATGCTATAATTTGCACAACTTCAAGAAAAGTATAATCTCCCCAGGCATGACTTTTTCAAATACCTGCAGATTCGGGATTTCATAAACAGGGGAACTACTCTCAATATTGATGCCACTACATCTGCAGTTGAACAATTACTCCTCCTTGGCCCAGCTAAGAAATCTATTACTCGCTTTTACAATGTCTTAAGCCAGACTGATGTGATAAATGTACAGGATGTTGTGCAGAAGTGGCAGGGTGAACTTGGTATATATATTGATGGGGATAAATGGACCAACATATGGACTCAAACAAAGAAAATATCTGTGTGTAACCGTGCCAGATTGCTACAATTTAAGATTGAAGATATTGACCGTTTACAAATCTCTCCAACAAAAGACATAAAATGAACTCTCAACTCTCACCTGCATGCTTAAAATGTAAAATCTCAGTGGGCACCTATACTCATTGTATCTGGTCTTGTCCTAAAATTCAAGCATACTAGATGGATGTTTTGCGAGATCTGGAAAATATATTTGGTGTTGTGTTGCACATGGACCCTCTCTCTTTAATCCTGGGTTACCCCAGTCAAGATACTATTGTGGATGCTAACTCTACCAGACTGTATAATATCCTCACATATGCAGCAAGGAAGAACATCTTTCTGTCTTGGATAAGTGACAAACCCCCTACTAAATCAAACTGGCATAAGATAATTATGGAATGTTTTCCCCTTGAGTACCTGACCTGTCTGCTTCACTCTTCAGAGGGACAGTTTATGAACATTTGGACTCCATATCTTCACTTTTCCAACTCTACAGTGGCTTCAGTGCTTTCGAGTGTGGTCCGTGGCTAGCCTTTGGCTCTTTTCCTGTGTCTTGCTCATAACACTGTACTTGCAACCTGGTCATTTTAAACTTCCGGAATTGCGAACTGGGGTGTATTTTTTATTTCTTATTATTTTATTTATTTCCCATTTATTGTACTGGTCGGGTGCATGTGAGATGTAAATGTGTATAGACTGTCTAGACCAATGTTGTACTGAGCGTTGTTGTTGTTTTATCGTTGTGGTTATGTTAATAAATAAAAAGCTCAATAAACATATTTGAACTGGTACTCTTGCCATCACCATTGAAGTGTAGTTGTACAAAATTATTAAGTTCAGATCAGAAGATATTATTGCATTTATTCAATTCATCTATTTTCAGCATACTGTGAGTCACAGTCAGTCCAAACTCCTACATCTGTTGAAAAAGTGAGCTCCCCTGATAGCCATGGTATAGTTCGCACACTGCCCTGTTCCGGGCATGCTGCTTTGAAAGGAACTGAGCAAACAGCAGCCAACAGTTTTGTTAAACACACTGACAGTGAGTGTGAGCAGAGCTATGGGTTAAAAATAATATGACTGTCCCCAGGGTTGGGAGAGTAACTTAAAAAATTTAGTCCGATAGTTACTAATTACGTGTTAAAAACTCTAGTCAGTAACCTAATCCAAGGATCACAGTATTAAAGTAACTTGATTACTTTCCATTACCTTTAGATCACTCCAACAGCAAATATGAAAATAAAGACAAGAGGAAAGAAATGACAGTAAGAAGTATTGATGTAGGTGTAGTCTATAAAACAACAGAACAATGTAACCTTAGAAACGAAAATAGAAACATGTTTAGTGTAAAATATTTGATAAACAATCCCCATTTTTACAAAATAAGAAATAAAGAATATTTAAATTGAATTCACTGCATTGAATAAACCCAAATCAATTAACTAATAAATGTAGGTGATTATACTCACTTATATATCATTGATATGTCAAATTTAAATAATTTTTATTCATATTTTAAAGTTCCTAAACCCAATATTTTTAAGTGTTAATTAATTCCTTTTTGTTTTCTATTTGAATCTACTCATGAAATGGTTACCTACAAAGGGTCTCGTTTAATTTATATTAACTCAATACCAAACATAGTTATATTTAAATAAAGTTTTTGTTTGTAACCTAATGAGTTAGTTCAACTCAAACTCTCTGGGGAAACTGAAAAAATATTTATATTTAAACTAACTCATTTATTGTTAAGGTAAGGTCAGTTAAGTTAATTGTACTAAAAACTAGTAAGTATATTACACTCAAAGGCAGCATTGCTCCAAATATATTTAAAATGTGTTAACAGAATTTATCTGAATAAAGCAAGACAAACTTTAATGCATCTTCTTTATACAAATGTTACCACTTAAATTGAGTGAGTTTTCTTCCACTGAAGCAAATTATTACATTACATGTCAAAACAGCTGACATGGGTTAAAAAACAAAAACAATTTACAATTAATCGATCATAGAAATGGTAGCCAATTCATTTTGTGGCTTTGAGGCTTACATTTTTATAATGATATAAAGTAAACTTGAAAAAAAAATGAGTCAGTTGAACAAACTGGAATTATTATTCAAATGCTGCACACATTTTTAATTCATGGGAAAAGAGTGACTCACATTTTTTGGAGGGTTACGTTATGTTAACTTACCTCTTTTATTAAGATACGCTGTTTTTTCCCCTGAAAAACAGAATGCACTCACAGATAGGCAGCAATGAGAGTAAGGTTTGCCACCATGATTAAAAAGCATCTTACCATTAGCCTTAGTGGAGTTACACTTCAGGTGTGAAGTTCTGGTCTCTCCCGGAGGCCCCTGCTGCTGCCCCCCCTACCCTGCGCCCTCCGGCTCCATGTAGGGGACGAGAATTAGAATCAAGTTTGTGTCACTCCTCCAAAAAAGGACGATCCGATCACAGGAGTTGGTCCAGCCGGCCGGCGGTGCTCTGCCTCCAGCTCGGCGGCTCCAGGAGCTGCGCTGACGGGCAGCCACGGCTTCCCGGTCCCGACTCCATCTGCACGGCAGCACTGACCGGGGATCAGAGCAGAGGAGTGTCGCTATAACGGAGCCTACACTTTACATCTTATTCCAGTTTTGGATGACACACGAGTGTGGGCGGCGGGGAGGATGAGAGAGCATCACTGTTTCAGAATAATGTTCTATAAGAGCGAGCACAGGCAGCAGATCAGACTGTCAACAAACAGCGCTCATGATACGGTAATAATGTCTTTATTAATGAACAGCGGCTATTAATAGGATTTGACTGCGTTGCGCTGACAGAGAATAATTCAGTTATTTCTCCAATCACAGCAAAGTGACGAGACAAATGACACAGATTAGATGAGGATGTATGAAGGAGGGTTTGTGAGCAGTAGAGGCTGACTTACCTGCGGTGGTGATTCTCCTCTCAGCTGAGTGGAATGCAGACTCAATCCAGGTCAGTGGAGATAGTGGCTGCGCTCCATTTGCCTGTAACGATGTGCCGCATGTTACGTAGTGGGAGGGCGGGGAGACCCGGTTAAACAAAGTGCAGGCGGCACGCGAGGCGGAGGAGGGTGTGACGTTTGAGCTGACAATCAAACAGCTGCGGGTTGTGGTAGCCATGGTAACCGCTGTCTTTGAGGCGGATTTTGATAGGTTGTAGAAAGAGGCACTAACAGGTGGATTCAGGTTTGAGGTACTTAACAAGTATTTCCATTTTCTCACGACAGTGATTGAATGTAACTAAGTACATTGACTCAAGTACTGTTCTTAAAGGACCAGTGTGAAGGATTTAGTGGCATCTACACTGTAAATTCCTGTTTATTTTATTTATTAAATACAAATATTAATAAAATTACAGAAATAGCCAGTGAATATACAACTGTAAATAATCATAAAATTATTTGTTTCTCTGATATTTACTGTTTATTTAATAGATTACAGTGGTAAATTCAAGTTTTATAGCCTACTGTTAATACATATCTAAAATTATGTAAAATGTGTGAAAACGTTGATAGTTACATGGATTTGATTGTTTATTGACAGATATCTTGTATAATTATGGATGTTTTTGCAACAAAAATGTTTAATACATTTTTTACCAGTGTATAAGCTGTCAAAATACCATTCTTATCACTGAAAACAGCAATAATGTAAATTTAGGCCTGAATATTTGTATTATAGCAGTGTTTGCATGTATTTACTTAATTGTTTTTACATGTGTAAATATATTTTAGACAAGATTAAGATTGTATGTAAAATTCAAGCTAAAAACTTTTAATTATTACAGTAAATTACCGTATTTTTACGAGTCAGTTATTTTATGCTGCTGGAATATTATATGTATATAATTTTTTTATTTTTTTACAGCATGGGAGTGAAGTTGCAGGCTTCTGTCTGTAATTGACAACCTGGGGATGAGAATGGCCTGTGAACACTGACATATAAAAGTTGGACGATGCGTCTCCACTTCCTCCCACTGTAGAAAAATGAAGCCAAAATATCCCAGATTTGGCCACTGTCAGAGGCAGTGTCTGCGCAGTAGCGATCGGGGTTGGCGCTGCAGTATCGAAGTCCCATCCACACACCAGGCCGACTCAACCATGAGCAGTTAAAATCAAACCATCAGAAAAATGAACAAAACACTTGGCTTTATGTCGTCTATCTTCATGTATGTCAATGGCTCTGAATGGCTGACTACATGGACGGCCACCCATTGCATCTGTAGATAAAAACGTCTCATTGTAAGGTAGCTAAAACACAACTATTCTTAATTTCAGGTGATTGTACACTAATGAAAACACATATATGAATATTATATTCCATTTCTTCCAATAGATCCTCCTAATATTACACACTGGACCTTTAAGGATGTAACAAAATATAAAATATGGATGCATAAAACGTAGATAAGATTATCATTGCAACACCAACGTTTCACCTTCCTCTTCCAAGCGCAAAGAAGAAACTATGGTAGGCGTGAAAGAAAACGCTTTTATCCAGGGCCAGTGTTTGGTTTGTCCGTTCTGGGCTACTGTAGAAACATGGTGTGAAGATTCAAGTCGGTGAGATGAAAAATGAATCGTGATACTCTATGTAAACAACAGAGGGCTCTATCTGCTTTGGCTACTAGTCTACTTCATTACATCCAATTCTAATTACTTCAGCATATTTCAGAGGGAATTTTTTTACTCCACTGTATTTATTTGACGGCGAGATTAAGGTTTTACATTAAAAATATAAGTAGTTTTTAAAATATGATGCTTTTTTATTAAACAAATCTTGAAATACAACATTAAGTAATTATATCTAATAATACAATGTAACATGGAGTGTTTCTGGACTCTTTAATATTTTTAAGAGGCCACGCCACGAAGAAAATGAGGAGCATCCTCATAGCAGGCCAGGTGTATGAGGTCTCCCCAGCCCCGCTCACAGAGTGCTGAGCTTGGCTCACCTGCTTCCCAAACCCCCACTACTTCAAGTCCCACCTCAACACACATCCAGCGCCAGAGTGTTCTATCCAACCACAGTGGTAGCTAATCTCACAGCCAACTCAGTTCATGTCTTTGTTTTTGGTTTATTTGTTTTTTAACCTGTTTCCTTGTGTTTCAGGATCCCTCCCTCTGCTCTAACCAGCCATCATGTCTCCTCAACCCATCTCCAACAGTGGTAATTATTCAATAAATCTGTTAAACTTCATCTGGCTCCTGATCTGTATTTTGCACCTGGGTCCACACTTAGAACATAAGAGAGGCTTGATCTGGTCCAGACTAGGCCTGCATATTTAATTTAAATATTATCAAAATTGTATTGCATGTGCAATATGCAAATCACAGATGCTGCAACGTTTTGATAAAGGTAAAATTTGTGACAAACAGCATTATAATGAAGCACTGTACTTAAGATGCACGTTTCTATATTTAGCAATCAAAGCCCTAACTGTACAGTAATGACCATAATGGCCGGCCATTATTTATTCCAGATGCTACTGTATTTGAGTTGAGACCAGACCTGGCTGGAATTAGCAGTTTGGCCCATGCTGGTGTAGACTAATGTCTAAAATAGCATATCTACGCATATTTCTGACTTGTAACAACATGATTTCTCTGAAGTGTGTGTGCACATGCTCAAATCTGGCTCGGTGTAACTGATTGTCTACATACAACACAATCTGTTATTTTAAAGGACCAGTGTGTATGATTTAGTGGTATCTAGCAGTGAAGTAGATGGTAGGTGGCTGTGAAACCTATGAAAAGACTTAGAGGAGGACCCGCTCCCTCTGTAGCTAAAAACTGATAATTCTAAGTTAACAAAAACACAAGGGTTCCTCTATTACGGTGATTATACACTAATGAAAACATAGACAACAACACTGGAGTATTTTATATTAACCTATGTTAGTTAGCAGTCTACGTGGAAACACTTACATAGGACTCCGGTTGTTACCCACAGGAAGGGTTCCACTTGCGTGTAAGGAATTGGATCTTTCTCAGAATTGTAAATTCATGAAACTAAGTAAATAGAATCAAATCTTTTGGGGACAATAAAAATGTATCTGAAGCTCAGAAGCTAAATTGAATCATATACTTCTCTTTTGATGTTTCTGTTTCTGCTCCCAGTGTTTCACTGCTTTCACAGCGTTGAGGTTCTGTAGTAGAACCTCAACATCCACATCATGCTTCTGAGAGTGAAACACCATGACTCCAAAGCAGAGACTAATTTATTATCTTCATCAGGACTAACACATGAGGTCAGTGTTTTCTGGAGGTCAACAAAACCTTTTAAAATCTATTTCAAAACTCAAAAATTTGAGCTTAAAATAAAAAGAAAATTGTGAAGACAGACAATTATATGTTTTCTCAAACATTTTTTGTACACACATAGTCTGAAGTTTAGACAAACTTTGCAGATACACTAGAACGTGACATGCAATCACAATGGCGCACAGTAACATAATTACTGTATCTTGCTGCACTGGGACTGCATCCATACTTAGTTTCTCTTGTCACAGATGAGCACATACAGCCGGTAGATGTTGAGAATGACGACCAGTACGTTTTTAATGGCAAAGAAGATCAGCATCTGGTGGATCACGTTGAAGTATATCATGACGATGAGCCGAACCACCAGGAAAGGCCCGTCCTGGATAAACAAAGCTTCCACCGTGCTCCAGATATCAGTCCTGAGCTGAGTGAGGCGGGAGGAGGCCGGGTCGGACAGGTCATCTGAGGACGCACCCATTACTACTGACACAGAGGAGGAAAGACTTTAAATCAGCTGCAGTAGCTCAATTGTAATCTGCCATATTTTCAATGGAAAATATCCGTTATCCTATCTAATAATCACTGATAAATCACAGTAGGGATTCTTGGCAGTGTTGTGTCTCAAGGCTTTCCTGGGGCCCAAATCAGAGTTATAGAATCCCGGTGCATAAATGGTCCTACATTCGTCTAGATCAACTTTTAAGTTATTTCTGTGAAATATTATTTGATATTCTGACTGTAGTCTGTTACTCTACTGTAACTCTCAGTGAATGTAGGCCTAAATAAAATATTCTACTACTGTGTGAGTACGTTTTCTAACACGCCTTAAAATCAGTAAGGACAGGCAACCCCCCATGAAGCTTTTGCGATCCCTAGTTGGGGTCCTACCCCCAGGTTAGGATCCACTGGGTTAGGGGTTATACTTCAGCAGTATATATGGGGTGTCTGTGGCTCAGAGGTAGGGTGGGTTGTCCACTAATCGGAAGGATGTTGGTTCAATCCCCTCCTTCCAAGTTTTGAACCAGATGACACTGACAGCTAACAAACATTTGAAAACTTTTTTCAAATTTCTAAATGCTTATTGTGGTATCATAATCCACTGTAACATCAACCAGGAAAGATATTAACCATTTGATTGTAAATTGTTTTTGAGATCTGTACAAAACTGAACAACCCTTTCACCAAGCACAACGTTGATACTGGACAGTTCTGGAAAACCCATAATTAAGTGTAACCGTATACCTTTATTTTATGTCCTGTACCAATGTTTTCAAAAGTATTTGTCCCTACAATAGAGCGCTGCAGGGATGATGTTCTTTTGAGGTGACTTTTGAATCACCCTGGTTCCTTCGACATAAAGCCAGTGGGATTTTTCCACTGGATTTTGAATTATTGCCGAAAATAAGCTCTGTGGCGAGCAAAGGTTTATGATACATATACTTTTTCTTCAGGAAGATAATCTTCACAAATTAACACCACTTTTAAGGCTTTTGAAGCGTAAATACAATTGCCAGAGGTAAAAAGACTAACATTAGGCCATAAACAAACTACACCGGTCACATGACTTCAGAGTCACCGTGACTAAACTGTAATAACTAAACATTTGTAATGAAATCTCATAATTAAAATCAAAATTTTTTTAAAGTTAGAGTTAGAATAGTTTGCGAGAGGCGAATATAAACACAACGGGCTGTAAAGGCGGACTAGTGAGTAGATTAGTCTCCATGTTTTAATGTCAACAACAACCTCTGTAGTCTCATTTAGCCTCTTGTTAGCAACCGCCTTTTTAAGACACATAAAAGCTTAAAAATCCACAGGTGGAATATTTACTGATGTATTTAACGTCGGAGAAGGGAACTGGAGGTGCTAAAATGCTAACCAAGTTCCAGGTTTTCAGACTCATTTCTGCAGCATAACAGAATATCTATTTATGTTTCAAGCCATGTTAGTGCATTCACATTACTGTACCTGAGAGATGCAGCGGGAATTGCAGCATGCTCCAAGTCCACACAGCCAGAATAATGTACACCATGACTGGACTGCTGTCACTGTCACACACACACACACACACACACACACACACACACACACACACACACACACACACACACGTTTGCTTTCACTTCATTGTTTTAGAAGACAAGTTAAATGTTACATCCTTCCTTCTCTCCCCCTCCTGTTCCCCTCTCACTCACTTGATGTCAGACAGCGTCTCGGAGGTGAACTCCAGTATGTCGGCAGCCGTTCCCACAAATATGAGCAGTAACTGGGAGAGCTGGTCCCTTGTCAGCTCTCCAGCGGCGGGCATCAACCACTTCCCCAAGATCAGTAAAATTAGCAGAATCTGGTGTAGAGCCAGGATCCAGTCGTTGGCACACACTGAGGACAGAGGGACCTGGAAGGAAGAACAACAGAATCAGATGTTTTACAGGCCCAGAAGGTTTCATATACACTAATCACAGATTATGCAATGTTTCAAATATCAACATTATCATATAGTGTTCATTTAGGGTTCTAACAAGGCTTCACTAAAGTATGAAGCCAGGCAGTTAATCCAAGAGAATAGTATACTGTATATAGTAGAAAGTCTAGATGCTTCAGAAACCACAAGAAGTGTACTTCAAAGAGTGACTTGCTGCAGTAGATAACCTTTCTAAAATAACTTTTTGTCATATTTTCTGAACCTTTCACTATATCCTGACAGTAGTACATGAGACAGATAATCTGTGAAACAATCAGGTTCCCCTGGTTCCTCCTAGCGCTCCTAATGGCATTTCATTCCCAAAGTGTTTTTAAAATGATTTGTATTTTACTTTTAGGTTTTAAAGTCATAGTCTTCATAGTCGATCAATGATCAAATTACGATAACTAAAATAAAAACAACCATATTTCTTCCCTTGTTCCAACTTCCAAACAATGTGATAAGAATTCTATTCCTCCTTTTTCTGGGGACCCCCAACGATCCCTGGACCCCAGGCTCTGTTCCATTCAGGTCTGATCTCAGATCAGGTCAGGATGCTGCTAATGTTGGTGTTGGCTCACTGGAAAGGCTTTGCTACACTAAATGGAACAGAACCTTAAATAGAAATATTGGTAGCACCTGTGATGTCATGTCAAAATGGCTGCTGTGAAATAATTCCAAGTGAAATATGCACTTGGTCATAATAGCGTGGACTGGGGCCCGGAGTAACTCCCTTACGTCACTGGATAAACCTCATGTGACTCTAATTTTAAAACTTTACAAAAGGTTATAGATCAAATCTAAAGGAGAAGTATTGCTAAGTATAACATTCTCCACAGTGAAATCTGTGAAGAAAACCTGGTCATAACACATTTCAAGGCGCAGAGTAGGCTTTTCATGTTCAGCTTGTAATTGTTTTTATTGAGGGTGGGTCACTTTATTAAAAGCAGCCAGCCCTGTGAATGTGCTCGGGTTATAGGGGGGGAAAAAACACCCGCAGCCTCACAACAGCCTCTTTGAGGTGAACCAGCATTACCAAACACTGCGCAGAATAAGAGCACTGTCTAGACATGTGAGGACATGGAACAGCAAAAGCAGAAGTGCTGAAAATAGAACAAAGTTGATCCAAGCAGGATGTTTATCACTCATCTTAAGTTTCATCCTACCTTAATTTATATTATCAACTCATTTACACAAAGACATGACATACCTTTAATCTCAGTGTATTTTAAAATACATTTGAACTTTAAAGCTCTCATCTTGAATATGATTTAACGTAATATAACATGATATTTTTTAAAAGTATTTCAAAATGGTTTAAATAATTCAATCTGGCCCTATTCGATTGTATTTTATCATTTGAACTAAAGATAGATTCAAGAAGAGAATTTAAAATAATAACAATAAACTTGAAATGTAAGTTTAACCTGAAACTTACCATAGGTAGCATACCGCCATTGGTTGCATTCTTCCAGAGTCTGTAAAAGTTTTCAGTCGAGTCAAGTTTTTCACACTGGAACGACAGACATTGTGATCCTCAATTAACACAGCGTTATGGCATTAAAACTGTCAGAATGTCAGAGAACAGAATACATGCATGATACCTTGGAGTCAGTGGGTTTGTTCTCCTGGTGGTGAAGCTCTAAAATCCACAATGACGGGATAATACTGATGAGGAAGAAGAAGATAGCTGGAGAAAACCTGTAGGGAAAGAAGACATCATTACAGAAATATTGTTATAATCTTCTCTTTACTGGTTTTTACAACCAGCCAGGGTTTTTTTTTTTTTTTTAAACTGTAAATGTATGTGTTTTTTCCCGTTTATTTGACAGATTTCTTCTGTAATTTTTAGATACATGGAAATATTAATAAAATTACAAAAATAACCAGTGGATTTACATCTATGCCCAATGTAAGATAATGTGAAAAATCTGTAACTGTAAATAATCCTAAAATGAATGCTTATTTAAAGAAAATGCCCCTTCTTCACACACACACACACACACACACACACACACACACACACACACACACACACATATATATATACATACATTTGCAAAGCTATAATTTTTTTGCCAAGCTTTACTGCATTTTATATTTATATTTACAACAACTATTTAATACTGTTAATACATTTCTAAAATGAGTGACAATAATTGTACATGGATTTGTTTGTTAATTGACAGTCATATCTTTGATCATGGAATTTTTCACAAAAAAACATTGAAAACATGTTTTTTTAAGCAGTGTATAAGCATTGGTAAACTGTCAAAATACAGTTTTTATCACTGAAAACAGAAATAATTACTGCAATTTTACAGATAATGACTTGTATTAAAGTTTCACACCCCAGCTGCGGGAATATTACCGTTTTTTTACAATTTGTTTTTTTACAGTGTAGCTAAACAGTAGCTATATACATATTTGTAATGAACCAGAGTCTCATACCATTTGTAATCGTTTCCACTTCGTCTCCTCAGGGTCAGGATCATCTCAACTACAAGGGGCAGGTAGAGGATGGTGAGAAACCAGTAGAGTTCGTTGTCCTTCACCCACACCACCCTCCACACCCCTATAAGAGAGATGAGGATGAAGAGGGACCTGGTCACCACGGCGCAAATGAACTTGAAGAACATGTCTTTTAGTTTCTGAAGCACACTGGAGGAGCTCCGGCTGCTGCGGGGGACGAAGGAGTTTTATGTGAAAGGTTTAAAAGAGTTCAGTGTTACAGCGGGAGAAAAAAAGGGAGCTGGGGCACGCCTCCCGCAACCTGCTGGATGACTGATTTACTGGTTTACTGCAATGTTGCTGTAATCTTGATGATACATCAGTTGCCTGCAGAGCCATGCAGTTGTTGATTCTGACAGCTCTGTGACCTGTGCAGCAACAAGCCTGGTCTTGCAGTAGATGTGTTTAAGTGATGGTATTTATGTTTTTTTTTTTTTAAATGAGTTTCAACAAAAACTAAACAGTAAATAGTTTACAGGTACAGTAGATATAAGAGGCCTCTCTATGGGACAGGCCTTTGATCCCTTGCAAAAAACTCTTGATCAGCGAAGATGGGAAATACTTTCAAATTATTGATTTCAACGAATAACATAGATTACAAATCATTAATTTGACCATTTGATACTTTGGTTCCTTTTAAATGATCTAATGATGTGTGTCCATATTGTGGCCCAATTGTGTAGGTAATCTAAGCAGCTTAGAACTCGCTCAAGCGGCCCTGTGGGTTTTAAGAGGTTTTATTCATCAAAGAACTTCTATAAAATCCTCTAATTGAGAGCCTATTTGTCAAAATACGTAGCCACACCCGGCTAGTAAAGGAGACCTGCCTCTATTTGGGACCCTGCTTTTGATTAAAGTTTTACAGTGTATTCTTCTTCCTCTGTGCCATAGAGCTCCACTGTTGTCCAAAAAGTATTAAAACACATCAATGAGCCACATTGTTGCACTGGGTGACACACACACACACACACACACACAGAGTAATATATGACTCAATCCCACATACACCGTTCTGCTGCCCCAAATACTCACTAAAGCATCAAATGGAGTTAATCCGCCGCTGAAAATGGCCCCCGACAAATGCACTATTTCTTCCTGTTTGAATGATGTTTGCTAAGCTGGCCAGCTGTTTTAAGTCTTAAAAAACGATGATGATGATCGAGATTCTTACAAGCCCTAATCACCTTGAGACTAAGATGGATTTTAGAGATTAAAGAAGTTTAATAAATCCTTAATTATCCATTATTGGTTCCTTTTAATTCCTGCATGTGAATGTGAATACAGTGCACACATTTTTGTTGTTTGTTTTTCAAGAACAGGTTGGCTCTTCTCAACACAATTTTTTGGAGAAATAGAATGGCAGCAGGAGCACTCCCTGTGTCCTTAACATCCACTCTAAGAGGAGAGAAGATGAAATTTGCCCTCATCCATGGACACATTCATGTGTTTTTTTTCCCTCAGCATTGAGGATCAGACACAACAGTGATTAATAACAAATTCTAAATCATAATATCTCAAAATAATGACTGTGACTGTGACACTAAGTCATTATTTTGAGATGCTAAGTCAAAATATTAAAACAAAATATAACGTTATATACAATTTCTCATTATAATGACTTACAAAATCTGTCCTTACGTTCCATTTGCGGAAATGGGCTTCCACAGTCACTGTATAAGCCACTCTGGGCCTACAACAGCAGTTTCATGGGGCGTTGCCATGGCGACGACTAGAGCGTCAACATGTCCGGAGGGTCGTCACGTCGTGATAAGAAAGAGCAACCAAAAGTAAAAGATAACACGCCTCAGGTAGTAACTACACATATGTATGTTTGTCCTTTGTACGTGAGGCTGTACACACTGTGGCAACAAGTTTCCTGGAAAGGACAATAAAGAATCTATCTTCCTCCCTCCACAGACAAAGGACAGTGTCTTCCTCCAGTGGGACGCACTGCCACACCAACACATCCAGGAGCTGCTGAAGAAGACTGCGGATGAAGTCGAGTCGTAAGTTGGCCTCATATATTCCTGCTGCGTCACGATAGACATATATAAGTTATATATAGACATATATAGACGCCGCATTGGTCGCCGGATCGTACGTCAACGTCACCGCCATATTGGACCGGGCAACCGGTCTGGATTTAAAAAAAAAGTTTATCATAAGTTACATATTTGAACTTACAAATGACTTGAGGAAATCGGTTGAGAAATGTGAACATGATAGCTGTGCTTTTTATCCAGAAGAAGCCAGCCCTTGTTTACTTTTATTTACTTACAGGCCAGTAGTCTTGCCCAATATGGCGGAGTGTTAAAAATGTCTATGGCAGCATCACAATGAGCTAGCTTAGTTAGAAATGTGCTATACTGGCTGTCTGGCTAAAAGGAAGCTAAATGTGGTTCAAGTGTGACCCATTGACAGTACAGACCGGACAGAGCTTGTGGGTCTGTGAAGTGAAGCCAACGCATTACTGTCTTAAACCGGCATTCTATGTAAAGGCCAGCAGGGGGAGTTCCATTGGCTGCAATCAAACACTGACACAATGCACTCTAAAGGAGAATGAGCCGACTTCTCACTTTATTTATGAGCTCAGTAAACAGTTTCCTAATGAGTTTATGGTCTCAGTCTCTAGTTTCAGTCTTCTTCCATACAGTAAAATAGACCATTCAATTCAATTACATTTCAAATCAATTCAATTTTATTTGTATAGCGCCAATTCATAACAGAAGTTATCTCAGGACACTTTTCAAATAGAGCAGGTCTAGACCGAACTCTTTATAACATTATTTACAGAGACCCAACAGTACCACCATGAGCAAGACCTTGGAGACAAGGGCAAGGAAAAACTGCCTGTTAAAAGGCAGAAACCTAGGACAGATCCTTCAGCGACCAGTTGGGGTGAGAGAGAGAGAGAGAGAGACACAGCAACAACAGTAGCAACAACTACACTAATAGTAGTGACTGATGGTGATAATGATAATATAATAATAATAATAATAAATTGTGTTATTATTAATAATAATACTAACAATAATATCAGTGATATTAGCAATGGCAGTCAAGCAGGACCATGGCAGGAGGCTCCACCAGGATCCATGAGAACCTGCGAGACGAGAAAGCACAAGAACTCCAGGGATGAAGTGAAGTTAGTAACATGCATTAATGGGACATGAATGAATGCAGAAAGAGAGAGGAAGAGAGGAGCTCAGTGCACCATGGGAAATCCTCCGGTAGTCTAGGCCTATAGCAGCATAACTAAGGGATGGTTCAGGACTCACCTGATCCAGCCCTAACTATAAGCTTTATCAAAGAGGAATGTCTTAAGCCTACTCTTAAATGTGGTGAGGGTGTCTGCCTCCTGAACCACAACTGGAAGCTGGTTCCACAGGAGAGGAGCTTGGTAACTGAAGGCTCTGGCTCCTGTTCTACTTTTAGAGACTATAGGAACCACAAGTAGCCCAGCATTCAGAGAACGTAGTGTTCTAGAGGGGTAATAGGGTACTATGAGCTCTTTAAGATATGAAGGGGCCTGACCATGAAGAGCTTTATAGGTGAGGAGGAGGATTTTAAATTCTATTCTACATTTTACAGGGAGCCAGTGCAGAGAAGCTAGTACAGGAGAGATGTGATCTCTTTTTCTAGTTCCTGTCAGTACTCGTGCTGCAGCGTTCTGAATTAATTGGAGCGTTTTAATGGACTTATTGGGGCAACCTGATAATAAAGAGTTGCAGTAATCCAGTCTTGAAGTAACAAATGCATGGATTAGTTTTTCTGCATCCGTCTGTGATAGGATCTGTCCGGTTTTTGCAATGTTATGTAAATGAAAAAAGGCAGTCCTGGAGGTTTGCTCTATGTGGGAGTTAAAGGACATATCCTGATCGACCATAAAGCAGGGTATGCTTTAGGGCGTAGCTACTTTGTGACTGACAGCTCATTCTCAGTGAGTCCATCCAGCTCAACGCGCCAAACTCAGATCAAACTAGGCAGTGCTGATAAAATATGGATCCAGATTCGTTTACTGTGTTGACTATTTCTCACTTAAAATCTCTTCACAAATATATTTTAGTGTACTGTTTATCTACAATACAAGATTGTGTGTGACTAGGCAACCACCATTGTTTCCTGCTACAGACAAGTTGAAACTGCACAGCCAATGAGTGCAGATCAACTCGTAGTACATCACCTCTGCTGGCTCCGATAAACTATCACGGCGACGACCAAAACGCCAAACTCGAGGCTTCAGAATGGTACTCCACAAACCAATGGGTGATGTCATAATAGGTTTACACTTGGTGTGACCACATAAAATGTGTGCCATGCTCTGCGTTGTCCAGAAGTGCTCAAAATATAAGAATATTATGAGTAATGTTATTTTAGCTGTGTGGTGTTTATGGCAGCAGTTGTGGTAACTTTTTGGGTTAAAACAGTACCTCTAATTTGACTGCTAGTAAATGTAAATTCTGAGGTCTTTGTCAATTTAATACCATAAAATAAGAATACTGTATTGATCTTTAGCTATTAGAAGCTAAAATCCTGTGGCCAGCAAGGCAAACAATCATGTTTGAAAATGATTGGTTATATTTATTATATGAATAAAATATAAAGAAATGGGAGTTGATGAGTGTCCTTTCAGTCTGTCTCCATCAAAGCGGATGGACCTGACATATACAACTACCTCCCAGACACTTTATTTTTCTGTTTTGGTCATCTGTTCAAACTAATTCCAACGCTGTCGACCTACTGACAGAAGTAGAAAACAGGTGGATTTTATCTCCACTTCCTGCGTTACTTTATGCTGTTTACAGGGTTCATTATTAGAAGGTAGGTCAGCTGAGTTTAGGTGAATTATTACAGTTAAAATACCCTCTGCTCCACACTGTCAAACCAAACTCTATTTCAAAAGGGGCTGTTTTTTGGTAGGGCCATATTTTTTAACAGTAGAAACTTTATTTACACAATCACCAAGACTCTTTACTGATTCTCTTCAATCTCCAGTTACAATCAGCACAAATGTCATTTACTCAGTAACATTAACTTACCTGTGATGTGTGTGACTGTCCCTGTCCTAGAGTTTAACATTTTTGTCCTCTCTGATGATGACCTGAAGCTCTTTGGGGAAGTAAAGAAAACTGTAAACTCGTAAACTGTTTTTCTTGTTTGATGTGCAAAATGCAACACGGCAGCTTTTAGGTATTGTTCCACTATACACTTTTACAGTGCTTGTGTTCGTGCTGAAGAACATGATGTATGGCTGCTCTCATCTATTACACTATTACACATAATATTATCAGTTACAGTAAGGAATGAACACAAGCTTTTATTATAATTTAACAAAATATTGTGTCCTAAAAGACATGACACTTGATATAAACTTGAAATATATTTTTTTAATAACATGGTAGTATTCTATTTTAATTTTTATAACACCAATGAACTAGAATTCAATATATTTTCTAAAATAACACTAATATGGTCTGAATACCGTATAAGCATATACATAAAAAAAATATATACTCGATTTTTTCTTTCCATGTTTTAGCAACTTCTGACATTTAGTGAAAATGTTATTTCCTGACATGGAATCCTAAATAGTGTTTCAAGGCCTTCTCCATACTGCCAGGAATAAAAGTTTGAGGGATTAGTACTGAAGTCTTTCATTAGTTATCAACGATTGACCTAAAAGTATTACATTTAAACATACTGAGAACTGCTGGATTCAGCCTTTTAAAATATTTACTGCTTTTATTGTACAGTGTAAACTCTCCCCTGTTAGCTAAAACCCACAAATTAACCAAAAAGGAAAGAAACATATTGATGGTGGTCCAGATGTTTCATCAACATTTTATTGACTTTCAGTGCATAATTACTGCTGGACGGAAACATCGTCATCCAGATCTGCCTTCTGTTGTCTGTAGGGAAATAAAGGAGATTCTGGGCTTCAGGAACCATCAGACTTCTATGAAGGAAGCTGCTCTGCTGGATTACTATGTCTGTGGTTTCTGGTGGGCAAAAGAGGCCAGTTTCACTCCCATGCAGACCTCCTTCACCATGGCTGTACTGCGCATGCTGCTGGATAACATACGAGGTGAGAGAGAGGATGGCAGGCAGACTGTAATTCCCTCCAACCCTTCTTGTCTTTCCAGAAGCTACAACAAATCACCCATTGTTCTGTCTCCTCGTGTCCTGAGCATTGTAATGCACTATACTCTTGTCCTTTGCATGATTTCTACTTGTTCTTAAGTTTTAATAATTCTCTCTCATCTTTCACTCAAACATATGTTCAAGTGCTTATTATTGTAGTTTTTTGGCTTACTTTGTAAATTTAAATAAAGTTTTACTTATTAGATAGATAGATTATGTAGTCAGCAAAGGAGGGGAAAAAAGTGTGTTTCTGAGTTGCAATTACAACTCCTACATGGTTGGAAGCAGTGTGCAAGCTATACCAGGGCTTTCAGGGGAGCTTACTTTTTCTATTGTCGTGGGGGAATATTTTCTGATCTGAAGTTAATGATATTGGGCTGACATGCTTCAGTGGTGATAGCAAGAAGTATCTTTTTTCAAGTGAGTTAGTGATGATTTACACATAATCCAAAAATAGCATATTGCAGTGCCTCCAGGAAGTTGCGATTGCAATAATTAACGCAAATTCAACTGATCCCTGTCTCAGTGGAACAAGTTGCCTTCAATTTTTAATGGATTATTTTACTTTCTTTCCTGCAAAGAACATGCCTCACAACTTTCTAAAAAGAAAGAAATCCCAGGGGATTTGGGGATTGTTGCGGCCTACAATGTCTTTAAGAGGGGCTGATATTGTCAGTATTTTAGAGACCCCCCCAAAATTTCACAATTCATGTTTTAAGGGGAGGAGCTCATGTCTTATTAAGAGGAACTCCCCTGGCTCCCCTGTAGTTCGCACCCTGGTTGTGAGTAGGCATGGGACGATATGAAAATTTCATGTCACAATTATCCTCGCCAAAATAATTTTGATTCCCTTTTTTGTGGGTCTACAACCTGCAAGCTGACCTTCAGCCATGGAGACTGGCTTAGGATTTTGGAATGACTGGAAAGATGTGGTCCCTTGTGGCAGTTTAAAATAAAGCAGTAAATTAATATGATTGTACTAAAGCGAGCTAGACAGCTTTTTCAGTGTTTTTTTATCACTATATGCAGTAACATCCTATATCGTCCTACTCCTAGATGTAACTATCTGAAATAAACTCAAAATAATCAATAACTTTAAAGGACCACACCAGTGATTAAAGCTTACCATATTATAACCATGATGCTATCTTCTACCAACAGGCAGCCATTGGTTTCCATTCATTTCTGTACAATATGAAAATCAATAAGCACATGTTTGAAACTTGCTCAATTTATGGAAATGTATCACAGTGTACAAGTCTGCATTCATTTGGTCTTAGGCAGAGGTTCTGCTATTACTGCCCTACTAGGAGTCGCCAAAGCTTCATGGGGTAGTAGTGAGGCCTTCTTGATTCACTTAAACTTAAAAAATATACACAGAAGTCCTATATGTTAGCATTTAGTTCACTTCTGTGAAGAAAAGTATACGTAAAGTAAAGTAAAGGAAATTGTCTAATAAAAGAATGGCCAAGTGTCAGGGACAAGAAAACTGTTTGTCAGAAAAGAAGCCTATTAAATCTGTATGATTGGTAAAAAAGACATAATACAGACAGAATCATGTAAAAAGTTCCCTAAATAAGAAAATAATCTGCTCAAAATTCATCCAAATCACTGGTCTTACACAAACATCTTGCAGTTAATGTGCTAACTGTTTGGGTCCATTGTACAGTTTTAGATATAATTTGAAATATCCATAAAATATGTCACTGAGTCAGGGGTTGTCAGGTTACTAAATGATAAGGGGTCCCTTAAGGAAATGGGTTAGGAATCACTGGTCTAAGTTACATTATTGTTCCATGTTAAGTCAGTTTCAGTGGAGGATCATTTGAAAAAAGTCTGGTCTGCATTACCAGAGTCGGACATTTTTATACTATAAGGGAAAATTCAAGTTCAAGACCATTATTTGTCCCTGAGGGGAGTTTGGTTCTGCTGCAGTCGCAATAAAAAACAATGATAACAGCACACACACCGGGTGAAGATAAGATAAAAAGCCACACATTCATAACCAAACATAGAAAAAAAACACATAACTACAGGAGCGAAAAGTCAAGGACAAAAGTCCCAATATTAATGAATAAAGAAGTTAGAGTTGTGCTGATGCTACATTTATGATATGGCTATGAAAGAGAATTTATATCTGTTAGTTTTGGCTAGTGGTTGTCTGAGGCAGCAACCAGAGGGCAGGAACTTAAATTCTAAGTGCAGGGGGACGATACTGACTGACATGATGGATATGTGGAAATGAATGGATATGTCCAGCCTACTAATAATTAAAATATAAAACTCTTGAAAATCCTCTCTAGGCTTACAGTATGTATGAATGTATGTGTACCATCATCATTTTGGTTAATATAGAGTAACAACTGTCATTTTCTTACCTATATTATGCAGAGCATTGTGGGATTGTTAGCAGAAAGTAGGGACACACACAAATTATTGGAACAGATAAATCGGCAGATAATGGGAAATGTAAATTATCAGGATAATTCAATTATTGTGTATTTTTGTTTTTGTTGTGTTAATAAAAGTGATGTCAGTTAGATTTTGTTAGATCGGAGCTACGGAATATTAAATCATCCATGTTTGCTCTCTATATCTCAGCCTTTCTTACCATCAAGTTTGTAAAAACTGCAGGTTATGAACTTCTTTTTAAAATATAAAAATGGGAAATTATCGGTTATCTTGGCCACAAGAAGCAGGTTATTATCGGTTATTGTATTGGCTGAAAAATCATATTGTGCATCCCTAGCAGAGACTATACATGCCATTACACTACTTTTTCATCCCATTATGGAATTTTTGAGAGCACTATTAAAGTGGATACACTTACACACATAAATAAAATGGTGGACAGTAATTACAGTACACTTATATAGTATAGGAAGGGATTTTGGACACACCTTTCAATGAGTTTAGTTTATTCAGTACACCTGTACAATCCTACAATAGCCCAATACTAAATCCTCCTTCTTCAATTACATTACAAGTACATCTCAAAATAAGGCTGTCCAATACAAAACCACAGCTAGCTTCAGAAATGACCATGTGTTGTTAAAGGTCCAGTGTGTAACATTTAGGAGGATCTATTGTCAGTAATGGAATATAATATTCATAGGTATGTTTTCATTAGTGTATAATCACCTGAACCGCCACATTTCTTCAGTAGCCCATAACAGACAAACCAAATGCTGGCTTTAGATAGGACCTTTTGCAGCCACCGTAGAATGGGTGAGGCGAGAACATTGCAATCAGCAAGTACACTGGTAGGTGCCACTAAATCCTACACACTGGACCCCTAAATGGACATCACTTAGATATAGTGTCAACAGAACATTATGAGTTTTACACAGATATTAGCTCATAAATGCTAGATTGCAGCAGATAGTCCCTTTCCTTTCATATTTCAGTCAATGTAAGATGTGTCACCACAATGCAGAAAGCTAGTAGTAAACTAACATGACTACATACAATACCATGTCAAATATATCAGAATCACAGCTTTAACTTGTGCTATATATTCCAGACAAACAGATGGCTCTGGTTGAGAACTTAATGGAGTTTGCTAAGGCCTTGGGTGCTGCCTGCCAGTGCTCCCCTTCAGAGGCAGACACCACTTCACTTCTAGACAGAGAAGAAGCCACGGCACTCATAAGTTACATCAGAGACTGGTGAGAAAATAATTTTGTATTCACGGGTAAAATCTACTCCATTCAGAGAAGCCAGACGAACACATACCTCCTGGAAAAATCTCAGCCAACATGTCCATGTGGGCCCAGCATGGGTTAGTGATATGCTGGCATAAAAACATGTCCATCCATTTGCTCTGTGCAGGCCCCATGTGGGTCATGCTAGTGTGCACTAACCTACATTTTCAACAACACATATAACAACAAACATGGGACATAACGGCCCAATTTGTACCCCTTAATGGCCCAGTTATTAGCCCACACAATGTCACAAAAAGAGGTCCTGAGGATCACTGCTTGCATGGACTCCACCTGCATCAGTGGCCCACCTTGCAACACCCAGGTGGCATACAGTGTGGGCGTTGGACATGCTGACTGGGTTCATCATTGTGAAACTAGTATCACCTGCTGAGTAGCTGTCCCAGCATGCTTAGTAAAACACAGTAGGTTGGGAAACAGGGGTCTTGGCTTCTGAGTTGCTTTCAGAATCAGGACAGGGAGAAGGTTTTAAGACCCAGATTACAGTTCTAGAAAAAGTGTTCTCAAAGTGTTCTTAGAGTATCAAAAGTACTGATTATGCAAAATGTCCCCTTTCAGAGTATTAAGATAATATATATAATACTTTTGGATTATTTCTATTCATTACCATATGTAACAGTGCATATTTTACAAGCTGATCATATGTTTTTTTACTGCACATTAAATCCTAATATCTGACTACAGCCATTGAATCAATGTAGTGGAGTCAAAAGTATATTTCCCTTTGAAATGTAGCAGTATAAATAAGCAGAAAGGGGTAAAGTACTGCAAAAATGTATTTAAATTAGGGATCGATTATTAATGGTTTAGATAGAGATACTGATTATTAGTAATCAGGGAAACAGATAATTGGAATCAGATTACATTTGCAGTAAAAATTGTAATCTCATTTTCAAAATGTCTAACAGCTAGTGGTTTAGTGTAACTAAGTACATTTACTCAAGTACTGTGCATAAGTAAAAATTTTTGTCCTTGAGTACTTCCATTTTATGCTATTATACTTCCTCTCCTCTACATTTTGTATTTAGTACAAGTCTTGAACTGTTAAATCCACAACATATATTTGATTGAAAATAATTGATTATGAATTATTATAGATGAATCTACCCAGCAGTATAAAGTAATCAAAAAATCCCCACCTTTACCAGCGTGTAACCTTGTCTCACCATCCGACAGTGCTGCGTCGGGTCATTGAGGAAGGAGCCAAAGTTAAAGTTATTAAAGAAAATAATGCTTCCGATAATCAGAATAACATATATAGAGTTCATAGAGATCACCAATCAACCTGTTTTTTGCCAATATCAGCCGATTACGTTTGATGTTCCTTTCTAAAGTTTCCCTGCTGGACACAAGATGCCTCCTACTTCACTGTAAAGTCCATTCTCAGTGGATGTGCACTTAATAAGACATGAGCTGCCCTGGAAACCTGATTTGTGAAATTGTGAAAAATCTTCATCTTCATGGATCCTGCATAGATTTAGACTATTATTGATACATGGAAGAGGGTGTTTCATCACTAATTTACTTTAACAAAGATTCTTGCCATCACCATCCAAACATGGTGACACAATATCCTAAATTTCATTCACGTTAACTCAAAGAAAAAAAGTCTTAGTCACACCTAAAAACGTAAGCTCCCCTGAAAGGCATAGTATTGGTCGCATAGAATTTACCAACAATTTGAAGAAGATATAAACATACTTACTTGAAATTCCAGCCAGTATATTGTTAAATATATTATACCATTTAAGATTGTGAAATAGCTCAGTGCTCTGGTAGGCTATATTGTGTTTTAATAATTCAACGGATGCAGCTGACCCTGTGTACTCTGTTGGCCGCAGTCTATTTCAGAAATACAGACTGTACGAGCTCCTCTTCATCACACCCAGAGAGGAGCTACTGACAGGCATGGAGGTGAGGCAGGTTGTGACTCTAGTGTGTGTGCGTGCGTGCGTGCGTGCGTGTGCGTGCGCACGTGTGTGTGCGTGAGTGCCCATGTCTCTGTGCATTTAGATAATATTTCAAACACGCTGTTTTCCAGAGGACTGTTGAGGTGTTCTGCTGTCAGGAAGCTCTCACTCCACTGGAAGAAGGCATTTCCTCTCACCTCTACTCCCAGTAAATAGCCTGATATGCAGAAAAATGGACAGGTGATGATGACCACAGTAGGGCGTCGTCTGTCTGTGGAATCAGACTACATAAGCAGTCCACACTTCAAGTTTAGCTTTATTTCTGTACCATTCACACTCCATGTTATTTATTAGGGTGATCACATAACAGATGATAGCAATCAAGGCTAATATTCAGACTTTGTAATGTCATGGTAAAGCATGCCCTTCATGTTTTCCTTCGCAATAGATTGGTTGCCTGTTAACAAAAACTAATAATAAAACAAGCCTTTCCTGGAATGTGCAAATGGCTTCATATAAAGATATTGTTCATCATGTCTAATGCTACTCTGATTTCAGTTTCTCTTTGTGTATGTAGTAAAAAAAACTAGGACCTAGTCTAGTAATGACCAACATAGGACGAGTCATAACCTGAAAATGATCTGCAGCATCTTAAAGGAATGGTTCAGTTTCTTAGCTAATACACTTATGAGAAGGTTGTCATCAGTCTCATGTCTGTGTGTAAAGTACGGAGCTGAAGTCAGGATGTGGAAACAGCTAGACTGGTCCGGGGGTCAAAAATACACACATTTACTAATTAACATGTTGTATCTTGTTTGTTAAATCTGTGCACAAACAGAATTCAGTCAGACAACTCACGTTTGAAATGTTTATTACAGCAGTATAGCATATTTAGATTTTGGCGTCTAGGCTAAAGTTTAAATACCTTAAACTCTAGTCAGAGCCTACAGGTGGGTGCTGGGGTGGTGGTGGGTTACAGAGCAGCAGGCAGCAATAGCTTACAGCGCAGCAGCAATACAGATGCAGGGCAACAGCGGCATTCACAGAGCAGAGGGAGAGCTGGGAAATTGTGCAGTTTAAATAGACCGCCAGATTGGAAGGGAGCGTTTGGTTAGTGATTATGGAATGAGGCAGGTCATGTGTGTAATCCGTGCAGCTCGAGTTGACTGCCTGAACTAGCTCGCAGGCTTCGCTCCATTTTCATAAAACGTCTATGAAACTGTTCCATATAAAGTAGGGCTGTGTGATATATTGTGATTTTAATTTTTTAATTTAAGGAAAACTGTCAAAGTATAAAGAACCCACACCAGAACAGAGTGATGTGTTATGTCATAGCACTACTTTTTGTGCAATGGCTGAAGGTAGAACACTGCTATCTGGGGTTAAACACAGCACAGAATCAGAACATTCTTTGCATTTTAACTTCAAATTTATGTTTTCTTTATTTTTTTTAATTATTATTTTATTTCAACATTTCTTTTAACAATAAACACACATAACAGACATGAAGTATCCAGTACCATTACACAAACTAATAGCAAGACAGACAAGGGAACAATGACAGCAGTGTTGAAGATTGCCCCTTTTGCCAATAAACGGTCATGGGGTAAGAAAAAAACAAACAAACAAATAAGGGGGGGGCACTGGTTTACACTGATACTGACACAGCACAGTAACAGCAACAGAGCTCCTGGGTCAAACAGTTAGGTCTCATCCAGCACTGTCAAAAAAAAGGTTTCCTAGCATTATCAATGATTCCACTCAGCCACATCCTAAAGCATGGGGACAATAGAGACGTCCAATTTAATCATATTCAGTTTTTAGCTGCAACCACGCCTGCTTTGAGAGCCTGCTTTTGATGGGGGAGAAGGGCCCTTGACCTGTCAGAGCAACCAAATATTGCCAAATTACAGTCAGAAAAGTAAAGAAAACCAATTAAATATGCCACTCCAAAACTTCTCTAGTGTTGGACAGTGCCAGATATTTTATACAGCCCTAATCTAAAGCACCACACTTCATAAGCACATTATGATTTCATTTTAATTGTTAAAATTAGGCATACAACATATCATTTAAATATAATAACCACTCAATATGTTGGATGATATCTTTGACCAGTATACAGACATGCTGTAAATCCACCACAGGCTCAGAGCAGATTAATAATGCAGACAGGAATGCATGAATTTCAGATGGGATTTTAACATTTGTAAATAATGTATGAGCTTATATGTTAGCAGTCTATATAGTGCTGCCATAGTTTACAGGCATTTGAAAAGTTTCAAATGAAAAGTATAAAAATGAAAGAAAATGAAAACACAGCTTTGTAAATTCTCACTCAGTCAATCAACCTCAACCTCTAATGTTGAACACAGACGTAAGAGGAGACGGTTCAACAGTACACTCTCTCTTATTGTCCTGGTGTTTTCACTGTGGACTATGATAAATAAACAACTCTGTGCCCTGGGTGCTTTCAGCTTTCCATTCAGCAGGATATTTCAGTTGGGGATCTGTTTTTAGCCTGCCGCTGATTGCCTGTGCTGTTCCACTCTGCATCCTTGTAAATGGTATTTTATACCCTCCATCCTTTCTCCCCGACCTTCCCATCTGCGGTAATAATAATCACTGCATGTTTTATTTAGCAAGCTTTTATCAAGGCAAAATCTCAAACTGCTACAAGGAACAAAGGTTCACGTATGAAAGCTTTCTGTGCGAACGAATGGGAAGGATATTTGAGTTTCTCAAGGTTCTCACCAGGCACGTGGCTCTCATCAGGCCTTATAAGGCTGATGCTGAGACAACTGGCTAGTGGAGCAGAGGGTGAACAAATAAGTGAGTTTGGAACTGTTTCACTTCGGAGTATACAAAACAAGTTCAACTATGCTGTGAGACTGTAAGCAACGTAGAATACATGTGTCCGTAGAGTCACAGGATGGTTGTAATTAGGGATTAGGGAAGTCAGTTGAGATGAATTTTCTTTGCATAGACAAGAAGTCACACTAATGTCTAATAGATATGTGTCTAATAAAGTGGTTCCCATCCTTTTTCCTTAAGGGACCCCTTTTCTGTCATTTAGTAAACTGACAACCCCTGACTTACTTTACAGATATTTCATATTATATTCAAAACTGTGCAAGAAGAGAGAGAGAGTGCCTCTCAGGGTGCCTAAATAAAAATATGACATCACATTAGAAATTACATTTGGTGATTCCAGAGTCGCTCAAGTGAGTTGTAGTGACATGTATGAAGTCATGTCTTAACTTCATGATGGTTACCTGCCTGCTTTAGTGACGGGGGAGTGAAATCTAGTTCCTTACTTACTATAATCTACTTTTAGTATTAACTGTGATTGGAGATGTAGGGAGAGCAATCGTTAAGTGCTGTGTGTGTGGTGTGTGCTTGTGTCTATGGAACAGTGGTCAAATACAGTCTGCCCTCTTCTGGACAACAATACACATTGCAGAAACACTGAATATTACAGAGCTTATGTTTGACTTCCATGTACAGGATCCCAGTGCTGACATATGTGAATATAAATCAGTGGGTGCTTTAAGAAATGGGTATATAAATGAAGAACAACAATAATGTCTAAATTACTTGACTTGACTCAAAGTACAACTTTCTAGCTTGTTCTGTAGCTTTTAATCATATCTTGTGGCGTTAAAACAGTTTATGGTATTTCCACTGTGATGACTTACCACTTTCCCGTCCTCCCGCCCCTGCTGACCTGACGGAAAACTGCGGTTTATTACAGCTTGAGTTTTGTTTCCATATAGCTTATGTTGTGGAAAAAATATGGTGAGAAATGAATACTATAAGTAAACTAATCTATATTCTATTATATAACATGTTTGCTGTTAAGTATGGGAGCTCCTCTGAAGTTGTTTGAAGAAAAAGAGATGAAATAAAAAAGATCAGGAACTATCAGAGCACATGCAGCCACTGGCTGTTAGAGTGAAGGTAGTGGCAGAGTGGATGTAAAACACCAGTAATTACAAAGAGAGGCGAGGCCGGAGGTATGGATGGTAGACACCACCAGAGCTAAGGGTGTGTGGATATCTTGGAGGACTGGGGGGTTCGTCAAAAGTCCAAGGACACCTTGCAATGCCAGTTTGTGGAAAGCAGAGTCAGCAGAAAATGAGGGGAGGGGTGCGTGTGCCACATAATTAGCACGCCACATAGAAACTATAGTAAGTTAAGATGGAGTTCATAGAAAGTTTAACCAAATGAAAAAATAAAACATTTGATCCAGTCCTTAATTTGAGCATAAACAAACGTCACCACTTGTTGAAAATTATAATAATATTTGATCTGATTTGTCATAATAGTCAACATTGGGAAAACAGTGGGTGGTGATTTGGCAAAGGAGGAGCTCATTTACAATATATAATTTTTTTTGCATCAGATTCTGCAGACTCCAGAGCATCTTTCTGACTATTCCTGACTGTGATGAAGTGTTTTTAGTATATTTTGGGCAAAGTGTTTAGACCTCCTGACCTAAAGTTGGAAGTTTTTCCTCCAACACTTATTCCACTGCCAGTTATGCTAACATTGTACTCAACAGAGCTCACACTTTGGAACACAACAAAAGGTAGGCTACAACAAGTACTATAACTTCAGGGTTCATGTACAGAATCAACACTTATTTAAAAAAAGGGAAAACAAACTCAAACAGTGAAATTATTGCTCCAACGTTGTACATCCATCACACTGCTTTCAATTCAATTCAATTCAGTTTTATTTGTATAGCACCAATTCATAACAGAAGTTATCTCAGCACACTTTTCAAATAGAGCAGGTCTAGACTGAACTCTTTATAACATTATTTACAGAGACCCAACAGTAACTACACTAATAGTAGTGACTGATGATGGTGAACATGAAGAAGATGATGGCGACGACAACAACGATGGGTGACAATGAGCAGTGATTATAGTAATAATAGTAACTAGGGATGCAACGATACCACTTTTTTCAAACCGATACGATACCGATACTTGGATCTGAGTACTTGCCGATACCGAGTACCGATACCGATACTTCTACCACAAAAAAAAAATGCACTAAATTAGGTTTTGACCACAAAATGAATGTAGAGTAACCTCACAAAAACAGAATAGGCTATAACCTATAACCTTCCTTAAATGTTAATGTCAATTTTATATTTCCATTGAGTAGTGATTACTTTTGTACAGCAGGCTATATTGATGTCTTGACTTGAACCTTTTCTGACAATATTGTTAGGTTAAAAATACAAGGCAATGCAGATTTAAGCTTAGGCCTAGTGATAGTTTTAGTTTTATCTTTTAGTTTAGTTTATCCTATTTTATCCTACAGCAAGAACAGAAGGGATTTTAAAAATGAGATAAACGGGTCCAAAACGGACCCGGGCCAGATGAGCCAGGATTTTTATGAGTCTGTTGCGGGTCCGCGGCGGATGTATGTATCAATTTCCCAAACGGACCCACCGCGGAGGTAAGGTTTAAATCGCGGATGCAGCGCGGAGCCACGGCGGGTCCG